ATATTTCCCCCCTTTTGCATCAAATTGGCTGGCCTTCTTTTCTGTTTCCCCGGCGGCTTCGTTCGGTGAGCGGGTCACATAAAATTTGCTAATATTTTGACCTTAAGATGTAATATCTGAGCTGGCCCCATTGTGCACAGTGGCCAAAATCCATTGCATATTATACATTCCAGTAGTACAGTGTTAGTGTTGTACATAATTAAATCATAATTTAATTAAAATTAAATTAAAATCTACAATGCCAAACAATATTCTATATTTTAAATGATTAAATTAGAAAAAAATTAGAAAGAAGATAATAATGTATAAAAGTTTCAGAGTTTCAAAACTTAGCGTCTTGTTTCAAAGTAATCAATTTAGTTTTTGTACTATCGGTTATGATAAATAATTGTTGTAGGAACTATGTCTTTAGTTAGGAAAAACATATTATATGAATAAAGTTGATGTTTAATACCTTCAATATTACTCAATTTTTCATCAATTTCACTAACCCAAAAGCCTCACGAAATCCCCACTCCATACCCTTCCTTATCCGTGCATTTATCAGCAATTTGCACAACTCGCCCACTGTCCCAGTCGCGTCTAGCGGCCGCCAGCGGCAGTAGCTGTGAAATAAAAATAAAACTTATTTATTACATCTGTCTATGTCGAGAGCCAGAGCCTGGCTTCATTACTCGGCCCCAGGGCGTCTGTTCAATAATTTATTAAATTATTTAAATAATAAGCGGGCAATTTCGGTTCGCTGTTGTCGAAACAGTTTGGTGATTGATATAGAATACAGTTTTCTTTGATCGAAGAGGGATAGTTAGTAGGCGAATCAATCAGGGAAGGGCAGGACCAAAGCATTGCGATTTCCAACACTTTCGTTGGAAAGTGCAGCGATTGCCCTTCGCCAATCTCCGCCAATCTCAACTATCTGCCAAGACAGATAACTTGTAGAGGCTGTTCTGCTCTACATGCCAATCAAATGCTACCTCAGATCGCAGATCCAGATGTCAGAAAACAGATTCCGGAATACAATCTAAAGGCCACCTAGTAGTCGTTGCTCGAAGAGGCAGAAAAAGCCTCGAATGCGTAACAAGATCAAACCACAGTCACCGCACTCGGGAACTTGGAGCTCGGAGTTCGGAGCTTGGAACTTGGAGTTTGGAGCTGGGACAGCCAAACAGTTGGACGGCAGAGGATGTTTGGCATTAAGCGTAATTGTTGGGTTGCTGGGCTGAATAAAAAGAGAAAAATATCATTAAATACTCCGTACCAAAATCAAAGCCAAAGACACAAGTGAAGTGTAGCCGGCGATGGTGAGCCAACAAGTCAACTTTTCAATGCCCCTTGAAGGTGGCAAAAAAAGGGGTATATACGGCATTTAATTCAGTTGAAATTTTAATTTTTTTAAATTTTGTATTTTGTATTTTATGCAAATTTAAAAGGCAATGATACAATTGTCTATTCACTAACAACAATTAATTGACATATAAACTGCCTAATCCTTTCTTTATTTAACAAAAGTGTGTTGTTTTCAGTGTCTTCTAATAACGAATAATCTAATTGGGGGTAGTTAAGAAATAGGTAGAAATTTGCTGTTAACAAATGTCATATATATCTTAAAAACCGAATATTAAGAATAAGCAATTTGACAGTTTAAATACCTAGAGTTTGGTAACTGGTTCTTATAACCAAATTAAGTTATTAAGAATTAAGAATGATTTAAACTTTATTGATATCTGATCGTATGAATATATAATGTTTATTGCATTGCAAACAAGGCTTTTGAAATGGTAGCCAAACGTTAAAAACCTACAAATGCAAACTCCACTCAATTTATAGTGTATAAAGTTCAAGTTCTATTTTCGCGAATGTTAATTACTGTATTTTAATTTAATTTTTTTTAGAGCGTAACTTATAAAACCCTATCTACCCTAGCTTTAGTTCCATTTTAATGAATGTAAGATGTTAGTTATTTTTATTACTGGGTAATTCCCAGTCCAATACACCTTTCTGCAATGTCACTTTTTGGTTTTAGGTGGGCAGCCACCGATACGAGCGAACCGAGCCAAAGGTTGCTGATGGGCAACTGGAACTTGGTACTTGCCACTGCCGGCAATCAGGTCGCAGTCTTGGCCAACTTCAGCTCTCTTTCGGTTTGGTTTGGTTTGGTTTGGTTGCTTTTGGCCCAGCCGGGACGTGGCCAGACATGAAGAATTACAATGAGTAGGTAGTTGGGCGCAATTGACGGTGGCTCAGCCCCAGTCGCAGCCTCGACTTCGAGCCCAAGTCAAAACCAAAACCAAAGCCAAAGAAACAACAGCCTCAACCTCTGCAAGTTGGCAGCAGGTCGGCCCACGTTCTGCGATCAGCGCTCCACTCAACTGGCGGCTGGGCGAGCTCCCGGGCATAGGTAGCACAAAAAGCTGTTCAATTTAGAATTCAAATTGTTGTCTTCGCTTCTTGTAGACCGTTCCCCTCCCGTTCGCGACCGGGCGATCTTTCTCTCGTCTCCTGCTCGCCGGCTTGGATTTGTGTTGTTGGTGGCTGGTTGTTTGGCTGGCTGTAGGGTTAAGCAGGTCAAAATCCGTACAACTAAATTGAGCCCAGAAATACAATTGGGCAGCGCAGAGAGAGGCCCCTTTCAACCCGGTAGAATTCATTTTTCGCTGCACACTCGGCTCTTCAAATTAAAATGTATTATTTGGGGGGAAAAGGGGGGGACTTGGATCGTCCACTGGGGTGACCAGAAGCAGCCAGAAGCACTTTTGTAGCTGCTTATTAGTGTGATGTGTCTTTTGGGCAACGATTCGAATTCGGGTTTCTTTTGGGGGGTGGGGCTTTGCCTCTGGTCGAGCCAAAGATGAGGGCTGCGGATGAGGACCTGGCACGTTTCACATTTGACGCGCCATACGCTGACCCTGCTATTAATTTATTTTGCAAAAGCATTTGCGAGCTTAAGATTATCCCCAGATGCTCGCTCATTCAATTTGGATCCATTTATATGCGTATTAGAGATGGGTGCGTGACTGCAATAACAATTTGATCCAGGATTTGAACATGTAATTATTTATTATTATTCGAGTAATAAATCTTTATGTTCCCAATATCGTTTGTCAAAATTAACCCGAAAGTCTTTCTTTAACCCATCTTAAATCTTTCTTATCGTAGATATTTTATGAACAATCGAGATGGGTTCGTGACTGATATATCGTATGGATCCTGTATTAAAGAAAACTTAATTATTTTTAAATTGTTCTAGGAATTCTATGCATATCTTTCCCATCTTTGACTTTGTCATAAATCCATACATTTCTCAAATTCCCAATTTCTATCGTTATAAGTTACCGATAGTCTTTCTCTTAACATATCTCATATCATATATCTTTTTCTTATCCGTATATTTTAACCAAAACAAGAACTAATTTTATGTGGCTATTTTATGATTGAAACCCACTTAAATTCTATGTAAATATTGCGCAACAAAATAACTTTATTGGGCCCAATCTTTATGGCTCTATCAAAGAAAGAACAGACTGAGGCAAAGTTAAAGACGTATAAAACAAGAAAATATTTACGAGTTCTTTGGCTTGAACCAGGCCCAAGTTCGTGATCAAAACGAAGCGAACTTTTGACGGATCATTCGGCTACGTATGCAAATTGATCTTGGACATTCATTGATATTTAACCATCTGTCCATGGTCAACTCAGGTCACCATCACTTCTCTCACCGCGATGGAAACCCCAAGCAGGCAAAAAAGGCAAACTTGAACTATAAAGTTTAATTAGATTGAAGACGATGTCTTCAATTTCGATTTGGATTTTGGGTGGAACTCTAAGATACGAATCTCACGTGTCTAAGGTTCAGAACACTTTGTCTTCATGGCAAATATTTGCAAATTCTTGGGCTTGTGTAAATATTCAATCAAAAAGCGTGTTTCTTTTGTGTGCTGATAAATAGATATGAGCTGCAAAAGTCATCAAACCTTGAAATTCGATGCTCCAAACATTTGGCTTTCATTAATATTGTGTGGTGAATTTATATCAAACTGAACTAACGCTAACAAAGTCTTTTGTTTGATGCAGCCAAATGATTTGCATATTTCCATATTTTCCATCCATTTTCCAAGCGACCTGTGTTGTCTTAAATTGCCTTCAACTGAACGGAGACCCGAGACCTGAAGTCCAATTACATTGCGTGTATGGATCTGCAGATGGCCTCGGCCCTGGTCTTTTCCACTTTTCCACTTTTTTGTTGCTGTTTGGTATCCAAAGGAGTTCAAAGTCAAGAGCCGAGCCTGAGAGACCCACAATTCAAATCTGTTTTTGGCCCGTATTGTTATTGTTGGCCAAGTTGTGCACTTTTTCTAGCTTTCTGGCCATTTCCTGGGCTCTAGTTAATGCCAACTTGTTGTTGCTATTGTTGCCTCTGTCAATTATTGGCACAGAATTTAGAATGCACTTGGCTGACCATAACCATAACCACAGAGCCACCCAAATCAAAGTCTCCGCCCCTCCCATTCCCTCTATTTATTTTTTAGCTCTGCGTTGTCCGCGTAAGATTATGACAGAGTCCAAGAGCTGCCCATAGGAGTAAAAGCCACCAATTTCCGGTCATAACTTGGTCTCTGCTTAGGCTTTAGCTCGTTTAAGTTTTTTTTTCCCCTGATGGTTAAAATAACATTGTGGGAAAGGGTTACAAGTGGTAATTTATACCTAGCCTAATCGAAACATTAGAAAACTATTTTAAATTCTCCTCAAACTTTCTATTCAATCTTACTTATTATGATAAGTATTTATCTTGGTTATGTACATCTCTAGAGAAAGAAGGAATTTATTTTTCATTTCGTTGGGTAAAACAAAACTTGAACACAACTTCAAACCGTATTTATTAGCTTAAACATATGAGTGATTTAGTACTTAAAAAGCAGCTAAGCCTAAGTTATTCTCTCTTTTGAGTAATGGAGAAAACCCATCCCGAGTTGGTGACCCTTAAACTAGACCCCCTCGATCTGCTACCTCAATCCCCTGTGACGCTTGGCCTCCTGCCACCGCAGTCTATCGATGGCCTCAAAGATCCTTGCGCGGCGGGAAAGCTCCTTGTTCACAGCCATCTTGTTATGTTCCCACTCTGTTAGTTTGTCTTTTTTATACTGCGGCGATTTGTTCACAGTTCCATTTAGTAACTTAGCACTGACGTTGGATGTCCAGGGCCGTCGGGTGGTGATGGGTCTGTTGTAAAAGGCTGTATGGTTTGCCAAAAATAAGCTGGGCTTGATAAAAATTGCCACATAGCCAGGTCTGGAGACGTCCCGATCCGTGGGAAAGACACTGCAAATTGAAGGGGATAAGGGTTTATAAAATAGATTCTTACTTTTCGGAGAGTAAAAAAGGAAATAAGACGGAATGATATTTTTAATTGGTTTTCGAGATTTTGACTCTTATCCGGACACACGGACAGACAAACGGACAAGGTTACATATACTTACCAGAAAAATCCTTCATACATTTCTTGAACCGAATGGCGACCCCACCAGCTGCCGAGCACCTGTAAGGGACACGATCTATTGCGTCCTGCATACGAACTCATCACCTTGCCCACGGACACGAACAGCAGTTCGGTGGTGTTGGCCTCCACCAACTCGGCCTTGCGCATCATGAACAGATCGTTGAAGGCCGAGATGACCACATCGTCGTACAGATTGTAGACCAACTTGTTGTCGCTGTCCTGGCCGATGATCAGCATGGCCGTACGCATGGAGTTCATGATGTGGGCCAGGGCCAGGAAGTTGATGTTCATGTCCTTGTAGTCCGGCGTCACATAGCCAAAGTACCAGTGGCGCAGATGAATGCGAACGGGCAGCTCAATGCGCGTCATCAGCAGCCAAGGTCCACCCCAGCTGTTTTTGAAGGTACACAATACCTTGGTGGGCAATCCCCGATCTCGTTCGAGACTTATCCCAAACACCTCGTGCAGATCCATGTCCTCTTGACACTCGGCCTGTGGATAATCGAAGAATTCGGCGGGATGGGGTGTTACCACTTCCCAAGTCCTTGCTGATATGTTTGTTAAATCCATCTCTTTTTCAGCCTGATCTTTGGTGAAGGTATCGGTAAATGTTTCAATCTCCGTTTGATCTGTTAAAGGTGCCTCAGTGACATCCGCGATTTCTTCGGGCAGCTCTATGTTAAGTTCTTTAGGGAGTTCCGCGGACAAGTCTTCAGTTTTCCCTTTATCCACTGCAGTCACCATTGTAGAATCTGTGGTGATTTCAGTTGGTGTTTCAGGAGTTTCATTTGTCGTGGTCTTTGTTTTCATCTTTTTACTCGTTGAAGTTGTAGACCGTTTCTTTGAAGTTGTTGACCATATCCACGTATCGTCGGAATCACTGGAGTCCATACTATCTACACCGGGTTTTAAGTTAAAATGAGTCTCCCGCGAATGGTCAACAGAACTCAGCTCAAGAGTTTCCATTTCCTTGTGTTTTTTACTGGCCACTGAGCTATGTTTGGACTCCATTGAATGCTCCAACGAACTGACCTCAAGAGTTTCCTCCGGCGAGCTGGCCTTTGGATTTCCTCCCCCCAATTCCTCGTTTTGTGAGCCGTTAAGCCCAAGTTGTGGTGCACTCACTCTCGAGGGGCCGTAGTTGTTGAAAACAAAGCTCATGTAGTACGTCTGGCCTAGGACAATCCACGGGAGAGTTGTCCACAGGCAGGAAATCAGCATGGCTATGCCCTTTAGCTTCACCAAAACCAGAGTGAAGGTCCGTCTATGGCACCTGGGTTCCCTATATACCCTCGCTTCATTGGCTTGTGACCAATTTCATTAATAGTTTTCCGTACATTCTGATTTTGAATGTGTTGCTAATTAATTTCCATAAGATTCGATGTGCCCAACAAATGACAATGCTTATGGCGGTGTATTCCTAATTGATTTCACAGATTACATTTTTTATACGTCTAGTGAGTAAGGTTAAATCCGGAAATGGACATTAAAACACCTTTGATAATATTATAGATTTTTAATTCATTTAAATTTCTAGTCTTCTCAAATAAATGATGGAACGAAAAAAATATTATACACATTTTTTTTGTGATTAAGTTTAAATAATATAATAGACACTCAAAAAATAAAAATATAATAGTTAAATTTGTAAATAAATAAATTTGAAAATGAGTGAAATGAAACGAGCAGCTTTTGTTTTTGATATTTCAAATTGGTCAGATCGTTCATATTACAGAGTTTGCACGAAGGTAGTCGTAAAATCATGTCTGATTTACAAACTTTTGACCAAATTACAAAGCATTAAATAAAAAATCTTATAAGCCAATATATTTTATTCATTTACAATTTTAAAGACTTTGTCTTCTTTACTTCTGAAAAAAATGTTATGTGCTATAACAGAAATCTCATTGACCATAAGCAATATATACTGTTGTAAAGACTTTAAGGCCATAGCCTTCAAGTTGTACCTGACTAAAGGCCCCCTTAAATGTTAAACCCATGAATAAAAACTTTGTTGGTATTTAAATTTTATTGGCATTTAGGTGATTAACTGAATTGAAGTGGCTGCGCGTCTTCCAAAAGTTCTTCAAACGGACCTCTCTCTGTTTTTTGGGGAAAAGCAAACAAGGCAAACAGTCAGCTGGACAAGATCCTTGGGGGCAACAATCGGGGACTTACTGCTGGCTCTCCAACGGTGGTGGTGTTACATTTCCTCGTAGTCATCGTCTGGAGCTCTAGGATCCGCCGTATTACTAGGTACCTCCTCCGCGCTGCTATCTTGGGGTCCGGGTCCACTGTCCCGCTGATTGGAGCCCGCCTTGCTGCCGGAGTGGCCGTGGCTCTCGCTGCTCTCGTAAATGGACCGCACGTACCGCCCGCCGAAACTGTCGTCGATGCTGATCTCGTAGCTACTGTGATGGCTGTGATCGCCTCGATTATTTCCCTCCTGGCTCCGCTCGCTTTCCTCCGCCTTTATGCGCCGATCCTTGCTATCCTTGCTGTCGCTGTCATCATTGTCATCATCATGACCATCATTCGTTTCATCTTCGCTGTCGTTCTGACTTCCGGAATTCCCAGAGCTGTCGTTGCTGTCGTTGCTGTCGTTGCTGTCGTTGTCCGAGTTTTCATTATCATCATTATCATTGGATTCGCCGTCGCTATCGCCGCTTCCGCTTTCCCCACGACTTGTGTCAGCTGGCGCATCAGGATTTTCTCCGGGTGGGCCATCTGGCGTACCACTGTCTTCCCCGTCCGTATGGGGCGGACCCTCTTGGCCACCGGGCCCGCCACCGGGAACCGGACCGCCGCCACCCTCTGCGTCCGGATTGTTGTTGTTGAAGGCAAAGTTCATGTAGTACTTCTGGCCCACAACGCCGTGCTCCGTGGCCAGATGGCCCAGGGCCAGCAGGACCAGGTAGCCGGTGAGTAGCCGTGTCCTCATCCGCCACATCGCTGCAACGCTGCTGAGCTGCCCGGGCTGGCCGACCCTCCCTTATATATAGAGATGGCCGGAATCGAATCGATTTTGGCCGTGCCTGCCCTCGCCCATAAAAAGGGGCTGCCCGATAAAGGCGTGTCCAAAGCGAGGGGCTTCAGCTAACGGGGGGCGTTTGGCGGAGAGGGGCGTAGAGGTGGGATGGTGGGCAAAAAAACAGTGGCAGTTGTTAGTCCAAGTTGCAGCGGTGCAGCAACAACATCAGCAGCTGCCGCCGAAACAGGTTGGGCCCCCGTTGAAGAGAGCTACGTGGAATTCAATCAGGGCCAATCTATAATAGAAATCTCATGTGGCGCGAGCTTCGTTTTGCCCAAAGGGGAGTTCGCAGCAGCAGCAGCAACAGCAACAGCAGCAGCAGGGGGCGTGGCAGTGGAGATCAGCTCAGAGGATGGGGGAAATCGGTGATGGAGAATGGAGAATGGACAGGGGTGCCCACTCTCTGCCCACTTTCAATCGATCGTGCGTTGCAAATATGAAAATGCTACTGCAGCGAGCGGCAGCCAACTGAGGCAGCTTTGGCTAAAATCGTTTTTCATTAACAATTTTAAAAGCCGCGCATTAATCACAAGTACACACACACACACACACACAAACTCAGAACAGAGCGAAGATTGAAGAAAAATACAGGTTGCCCTGTGCCAAAGTCTTCTTGCAGATGGTGGTTCAAAATGTGGCAAAATGTTCACTTATTTAGGTTGATAGTTGGCATTGTCGCAAATATTTGGACATTGAAATATATTTATAAATATTTATTATTATTTATATCAAACATGGCCAATACTTTTTAAATTGCCAGTATAAATAGCAGTACCATATTCATTTCTTAAATGAACACTATGAAAGATTTTGGTATCCACTTTATTTCTTAGCACCACTTTAAAATATATTGCAAATAAAATATATTTTTTTGTAATTAAAAATATATAAATGTGCCAGTAACAATACCTTATATTTATATTAATTTTTTGAAAAACGCCTTCATAAAGAGGGTTGCTATAAACTTTATTTTTAATCTGTGAAAGGAAAATGTAAAAAGTATTAAAAAGATTTTTTTATATTTATATTTATTGAAATATTCGGCAAGAAATGTTTTGTATCAATAAATAAGTGCAATAGTTCCCGCACTTTAAAACATAAATCTGGAACAAGTTATAAACCCTTTTTGAGCCCTTTGAAACCACCGTGCAGGTGGTCACGTTGCACATTAATCTGCCGACTCTTCCCAAGACACCCCACTAATTCGCTCTTTGGCTCGCTCTTTTCGTTGCAGTCGTTTCGTGATCAGTCCATCGATGGCACTGGCCTGCCGCTCTTAACCGAGGATCATTTGGTCAACTCGCTGGGCATGAAGCTGGGGCCGGCTCTCAAGCTGCGCTCCATATTGGCGAAGAAATTGGGCGGGCCGTGCCCGTGTGTTGCATGCGTTGCGCAGGCGCAACAAATGCTGGCATTGCAAACGGGTGGGGCAGCATCAGCAACACCAGCAGCAACAACAGCAGCAGCAGCAGCAGCAGCCACAACTAGTTGCAGCATTAAGTCGGAGATCTTTAATGGCGGCAGCAACGGCAGCAGCAGCAGTAACAACAGCAACAGCAACAGCAATCAGGGCAGCGATATTGCAGCTACGCCAGCAACAGCCAGCTCGCCCAGCAGCAACATGTTGCTGCCAGTGTTGCCGTGCAGCGGTCTGCACGATGCCAGCTAGTTAAATGCGCTCCACATACATATTTATGCTAAATAAATTGCATTTCAACTGCAAAATTGCTGTACCAAATGAGCTTTCAACAAAAAAGAAAAAAAAAAACAAACACACACACCCACACCCACACAGAAGCAAATCAGATTGAAGAGAATACCCTATTGTATAAATTAAACAATAAATATGTAATTTAATGGCTAGCTAAAGTTGTAAACTTTAAGTGACAACAACAATAATCGCAAAGTCTTCCATTTGCACACACACAAATCATATTTGTATAATATTAATCAATTTATTAGTCAATTTATTGAGAGACATTTCGTTTACGTACTTAAGTGCAAAGCGCATTTTGCATTGATTTTATTTATTTCTATGACTTTTTTTCGTTTTTAACTGCTAGTCAGTAAATATATATTTAATAGAATTCCGCGAAATGTGAAGCAAACTTAAAAATTCAATTTTATTGTTTTGCAAATTGATGTAAAAGGCTATTTATTTTGTATAACCTACGATACAGCTGAATTGTTGAACCCCACAAGGCTTTGTTCAAATTTTTGATTAATTTATGTTTACTTTTTCTGCGGCCATGCACAAAGGAATTCAAAATTCAACTTTTAGAACTATATGCATCCTTTTAAGAGCTCCAAGACTTGAAACACACACCACACAACATACACAAAAAAAAAGAAAAAGAAAACAACAAGAAACAAGCAAATAGAGAACGTATTTTATAGCTCCATTGTACATATTGTTTATTTAATTAGTTGTAAGTCATAAAGAGAGACAGAAATATAATTTTCTAACACTTAGGCCGTATGCAATGAACTTAAAGAAAAGCAGAAACATATTTCTACAAAATAGGAATGAGAATGAACTTGATTTATTATATACATTTAATGAACTATAGCTATTTTTCACAAGCTGAAGCAAATAAATTATACCAGTTATCATACAAACAAAAACCAAGTGTCGGGGAATAAGTGGCCAGTTGCAAGTTGCAAATTGAAGCTCCCTGGGCATCGGACGCCACTTTCTGGGGCGTTATGGGCACGCGGATGACCTCCGGACCGCTCGATGCGTCGCGGGTCAAGCGTAACCGTTGCGCCAAAAGGCAACCAAGGATGGCTGCAAAACAATTAAAAGCACGCAGCGCACCTCCAGCGTCTAATTACAAATTGGAGTCATTGAATTTATTAAAATCGGCCGCGTAAATTGTGCAGCAATGCACTTGAGACACGCGAGCTGATATTGTGGGCCATCCATCCATTGGCGCTTCTTGGCTCTCATTACTTGGTCATAACTCACTGCGCCCGTCCGGTTCAAGTATCCCTAGCCTCTAAAAAGCCCATTAAGCCCAGTCGCTCGACCCCTTCTGCTTTTTTTTCAGATTCCCAACTGCTTTTCTTCTCTACAGCTACTCCTTGATTTGAGATACGAGAGTTGAGTCTGCCTTTTACCAGTAAACTATTCCGCACTTCTGAGTTTTTAAGTTCAGTCGGTAATAGAGTTAACACCAAATTCTAACCTACCATGCCCTTAATTATATATTCTTATTGTTATAAATGTATTATTAAAGTTAAGAAAAGGGAAAACATAAAATGTTACCACCGAATTCATATATTTACAAGGAACTAATTAAAACAAATCAACAATTTGTGTCGATTGTCATTAAAAAAAGTTCGTAGTTAGAGATAGAGATCGGATTGCAAAATAACTTAGGACCTACTAACCAAATAACTTTACAATTAAACCTTTGAGGTTGCAAAAATCTTAAGGACAGACAGGAGCATTTAATCTTTTGAAGGTAAGAAAATCAATCAAAGGTTTCTCAAATTTTTAGAAGCTTCACAATTTATACATTTCTATATATTTATTATTTGCTATTACGTTCTCAATAGTTTTACCTCTGTGAATTACTAAATACTTTATTTGTGCTTTCTGAAGAGGTTAGATTTTCAAACGATTTAGTTATACGCTAAGCAGAGTAGTGCAAGACGTGTTCTGACTTTTCCAAAATTTAGTAACTTAATTATTTTATGTAGAGTTTAAACCGACTTTAACACATCAACTTGCTGCCAGTGTTATAACTGGTTATTTGATAATGCAAAAACAGAATCAAATAATTAGTTTCCGAGAACCATTATTTTATTTAAGCTTAATGAAATGTTTGTTTAAAGAACATAATTTGTATCCAAAGATTGATGACTACTGATAACCCTATTATAACTTTTTTTAATGAATTCTATTTGGCCACCCGCATCATCATTTCTACTTTGATAACATCTTGTAATGTGATGTTATACCGCACACAAGAGCGCCTAAATCGCTAGTAACTTCATTCTTGTAAAAAAAATAACGATTGAAACAAATGTTTGGTACTTTGAGGTACAAAGCTTTTAACATCTATATCATCATCAAAAGAGAAGCAAATAATAGACAGTATTGGATATTCATTGGTAAACTGGCTGCCTTTATTTGGCAAACTTATACATTGTATACTTAATGGAACTCTTGTATTATGGAAATGAAGGGCCTAGAAAGTGTTGGCCCAAAGTACGATGTGCCCTAACATTATCATAGATTCTCCACTACGTGGCAATGGGAGCGGTAGTGGTAGCGGGAGCAGCAGCCTCCGGTTCAGCAGCCTTTTCGCCGTTGCCGTTCTGCGCCTTGGCCGCCGGCAGATCCTTAACGCCGGTGGAGCCGAATCCTGCCTCGCCGCGTTCGGTGTCCTCCAGTTTGTCCACGAGCTCCAGTTCCGGATAGAAGATGCGCTCGCAAATGAACTGGGCGATGCGATCGCCGCGCTTCACCTCGAAGTCCACGTCCGAGTGATTGAAGAGCACGACGCCGAGGTTGCCGCGGTAATCCTCGTCCACCACGCCGGCGCCCACATCGATGAAGTTCTTCACGGCCAGTCCAGAGCGTGGAGCAACGCGGCCGTAGGAGCCCTCCGGAACCTGCACCTGCAGGTCGGTCTTCACAATGGCCTTGCCCCGGGCGGGAACCACCAGGTCGTAGGCGCTCCGTAGGTCCACTCCCGCCGCCTTGGCGGATCCCCTCACCGGCGCAAGGGCATTTTCGGTCAGCTTGGCGAATTTTAGGACGCAATTGTCGATCTTCATCTTCTTGGCAGCTGGAATGTCGTCGCAATCGATTGATGGCATCTGCAGCGGATTGGATTTGATTAGGACTTGGTCAAATGACGCCGCTTTATTCACCTACTTGCAAAATTCTGGTCTGAAAATGGCGCGGTCAAAGCGTCGATTGCAAAATTGGCGGATTCGAGTGTTGCCAGATTGCGTATGTCCAAAATTGCCAAAATATTTAAAAACAAACAAACGTATTCTTAAGTGCGTATTTAATATAGGATATTATTTTTAAAGCAAAGCTTTTAATATCTTTAAGCGCATTAAGTAAGCGTAAGACAAACCTTCCAAAGTTTGCTTCCCTTCTTTTAACTTAAAATTTAATTTATTATTATTGTTATAAAATTATGATTTTATAATGAAAATTGATTGAAAGTACTGCATTTCCCAAAATTGTAGTAACTTCACTATTTTAAGTTATAATTTAACTTGAATTTTAAGCATTTAATTGCCGCATACTTTTTAAGCAGCTAGTTTAAACAAAATTAAACATATTTCTTGATATTTTTAAAAAATTACCAACCAATTATATTTTATTTCATTGAAATGTCCATATTTAAAGATGATCTTGGTTTATCAGCCTTATGTTCTTTCTTAACATATTTAAAAAAATAGTTACATTTTGTTTGCAATTGTTTATTCTTTTATATATAATTAGATATTTTTAATTCTGTACTAAAATACTCTTTGTGATATATTATTTACCCAAAAACAAATTTCTTGCTCTGTTTCAATATTGATAACTTACTCTAACTGAAAATTTAAGTAATAGACCACAAAATTATTATAAAAATATTAGTTTTTTTATTAAAAATTCAAATTTATTTAATTAAATTTAAAAGCAACGGATTTCTTGGTAAGCAGCGACGGTCACACTGGCCTTTAGCACGTTGTTTTGAAAAATACACCTGATCCGCTAATGTTTTGATAACTCTGCGCTGCAGCAATGGCGAATGCATATTTCGATGAATATGAAAACCTGGAGGTAAGTATGTAAGACTTACCTTAATTTTTGCTGATAATTGCCATTATTGCAGATCCACGAGCTCATGCTGAAGGATCGGCCGCGACAAGCGGCCTACTACAATGCGATCTTGGGAAATAAGGATTTGTTCAAGGACAAGATCGTCATGGATGTGGGTGCGGGCACTGGAATCCTTTCCGCCTTTTGTGCCAAGGCCGGAGCACGTTTGGTCTACGCCATTGAGGCATCCAATGTGGCCACCAAAGTGGCCCTGGATCTGATCGAAGATAATGGCCTGACCAACGTGGTGAAGGTGATTCAATCGCGGATCGAGGAATTCGTCCTGCCCGCCGACGCCGAGAAGGTGGACATCATAGTGTCCGAGTGGATGGGTTTCTACCTGCTGCACGAGGGCATGCTGGACTCGGTGCTCCTGGCCCGGGACAAGTTCCTCAAGGAGGGCGGACTGCTCTTTCCCAGCGAGTGCACCATCTTCGTGGCGCCCTGCTCAGTGCCATCGCTCTTCGACGATTGGCACAATGTGGATGGCATCAAGATGGACACTTTTGCCAGCAAACTGCGTGCCCAAAAGTCCGCGAGACCGGAGATTACGCATCTGAATCCTGCAGACCTCCTGCACGAGGGCGTCGTCTTTCACTGGATGAATCTGCTGGATGTGCAGCCTGACGAACTGGACAGCATCCAGTTCAAGGAGGTGGTGACGGCCCAGAAGGCGGGCAACCACCAGGGCTTTTGCATCTGGTTCGATGTGCGGTTTCCCGGCGAAGATTCAGTTCTGAGCACATCGCCGCATTCCCCGCCCACACATTGGAAGCAGTGCGTCGTCGTGCTGCCCGAGGAATCCTGCGAGACGCTGGAGGAGAAGGCACCCATAGCTTTCCAGATCACCATGAAGCGCAGTGCGTCCGATATGCGGAAATACAATTTGGAGGTGGATCTGTTGGATCCCAACACGGAGGAGCATCCAGTGCCCTGCTCCTGCCACATGACCAAATGCATCTTAACGGAAGCGCATCTAAAGATGATGGACACATCCTGATAATGACAATCGCACTGTGGGGAAATCAATTTATTTAACACTTTTATTACAAATACAAAATATATCTCAGTCAAACTTAACGTCTAGTCCAGCATTTTCAAAATCAATTAAAATTATTATTTTAATCCGCAAAGGGAGGCTTTAAAGTTTAAACCAATAACCGCTGCAGTCTGCTTTGAAGTTCCTTGAGCGAATGCTGAAGTCGGTTGGTGTCGGGCTTTTGGTAGCAAATATTTAAACAGCCGGCTACTATGTCTTGAGCCTTGCCAATAATTCGTCTTCTGCGAAACAAAAACCAGTTTAAGTTAAGTTAATTTAATTGATTTACCAATCCCAGCACTTACTTTGAGCGGTACCAAATGGATTGTGCGTTGTCTGCCAGGAGGGAGACCACTCGAATGGCGGATTGGATCAAATGCCACTCGTTGCCTTCATTTGCCCAAATACGTTCGTTCATTGAAATCATTCTGAAAGATGTTTTTATTTAATTACCCTTGTTGCCTTATATTCCATTTGAATCTAAGATCAATGAAGACATAATTGACTACGACATACCTCGAGTAGTATTCCAGGAGCAGTTCAACGTCCAGATTCATGGTCACCAGTTTCTCCGGCACTATTCCCTCGGGCAGTCGCAGTTGGCAGGCTTTGATCTCCAGTTCTCGTATGAGAAAAGCAAAGGGAAAGCAGGCTCCCGATTCGCCGTACTCCCTCACCAGAAGTTCGATCTTCGTGAACAACCTAGTGCTGCGTTCGTGAGTTGAGCCCGGCTCATCCACCACGCTGTTGATAATGTTGCCCCAGACCGACTCAATCAGCAGGGGGTCGTTGTGATGCGAGCAGTTCAGTATGGACAGCTGGCACTCCCAGAGGTCGAAGGGCTCCGCAAAGTGCTGGTAAAGCTGTGTGATATCGTACAGGGCATAGTTTAACTCCTTCACAGCCGTGGCGGCCTCCAGCTTACTGCGAGCCAGCTCCGTCATAGCAACCAGCACGGTCTTTTGAACTCGCGCAATATCCAGCTACAAAAATGTAAATTAAATTAACTATATATATCCCAACGGTTAGTTCCTTATATCCCACCTTGTCCTCCAGTTCTTTCAGGAATATCCCATTGGTAATTGAGGAGCCAACATTGCCATTTCGCATGCACATAACAGCGCGCACCAAGTACTCGATGCGTTGTTCCAGTGTTATGTTTTCACTGCGTGTCATAGCCAAGTTGTCCAATATCTGGGCCGCCTGGGAATGATGACCATTCTTCTCGTAATACTTCCACAGCAAATCGATCAGCACCACGTTCTCCCCGTTGCGCGACACACTGCGTCGCAGGAACTCGCCCAGCGATGGCTCGACCACGTCCAAAAGCTCGCTAAGCATGTCGTGCGACAGCAACCATTCGTAGAGGGTCACATGGATCAAAGGATCCTTCACCCGCAGCGTCTGTGCCACAATTTTGGGGATCGTTTGTTTGGCTGCATTTTTCGCATCGGAGGCTTTGGCACCATTTTTCAGTTGTGGCGATTGCGTTTGGTCCTTAATGTGCGACTTGTTGCATGCAATCTGGTAGATATGGTCCAGCATAAGTTGCACTTCCTTGTAGTAGTTCATTCTGTAGGCAAAAGATTAGTTGGTAGATTGTTTTTATCATATGCATTTATAAATTATGGTTATACAAGTTAATTATAATTAACGAACAAAGCAAATACCTATTTATTTAATAGAAAAGCATCATTAGATATATCAATAAGTCTTAATCTATTGATTTTAATTTACTGGGTACCTAAAATTTCTTTCTTTAACTATTTTTACTTTTTTTTAACTAATACCAACTGCTTTATAGACTATATATACTGCGCTTATTAATTTAATTTTTGGTATTTAGGCAGCTATAAAGCATAAACCACTTATTCTATGACCAACAATTATTTATAGATAAAAAAAGTTGAGAAAAATGGTCATGGCTTTAATTAGACTTAACAAATTCTGTGCATTTCTTTTTAATTACATTAAACTTATGATGGTTTTCCTTTACATTTGAATGTGATAATTCTATGCGTACATGTATAAAGACAACAATGTTATAACGATTTTCTTGGCATTTTTATATTATTCTGACAGCTATATATATATATGATAGAATCTTTTGATTTCTCATTGTTTTTCTCTTATTGTTATTAATAACACAGAGAGAAAACTTTTGGAAAACTGAGAGCATAGAACACAGAAACAAATAAACAGGCGGAAAGGACCAAATCGATTCGGTTAGTGATCCTGATTTAATTACAAAACCCTATGCAGGATTATAAGAATGTAAATTAACTTACCTTGTGGCGAAGCAAGTGTAACCCTCGCGGTCTTCAGCTGGTTCCCCGTTGTTGTAGAAGTGGACGCCTACCTCTTCGGGGTCGCTCTTTGATGCGCACACGGCCGACAGCTCGATGACGCCCTCGAAGAAGTCAGCGGAAATGAACTGTTGGCAAATACTATGCAGTGGCAGAGTTGGAGCAGCTTCCTTGCACATCTGCAGAGTGGTTCGCAGCTTCTGCTCCTTTTCGGCGGCGGATGTGCAATTCTTGGCATTCATCAACAACTCGGTGGCCTTGTAGGTCACGTCATCTTCATGCCTGTAGAGATTCGGGCAGTTCTCACGCAAGTTCATGGACACCTCGGACACACCGGCCTTGTCCTTGAGGTACAGATTAATCAGTGAGATGATCAGGAATGCGCAGACCTCAGAACGTGTGAGAAGTAAATCACGGAAGGTGCAGCACTTCAACATCTTCTGATGTTCGGGACTGAGTTGCAAGCAAATGAGTTGAAAGGAGTGCGCGTTTAGAATGCTCCAAAGTGATACAACCTCACAGGCGTGTTCTGGTTAAAATTGGCAATTAGTAAACACACTGACTACTTAAAAACTAAATTTTCACTTACTGACAAAGAGGTTAAGAGCAGAAAGTGAACGTTTTTCCTCAACTTGAGCCTGTTCGGTCAAAATTCTTTGCTCAGGAATCGGCAGCATAGTGTTGTTCATCATAATCGTGCTGTAGGAATTGGTTCTATCCAAATGTGGGTCAAACGACACTCGAGTAGAGGCTGAAATAGGGAATTCAAAGATCAGAGCCCGTTTTTTACACCTATATTGTTGTACAACTTACAGGAAATGTCATGCACAGAATGGACTTCCAGAAAACTGCGCAAGGATCGCAGGTCGGCTTGCAAATGGGCACAATCGCTATAGCTCAGATTGGAGCAGAAGTGCTCGTTTACACAGCGCAGTTGCCAAATGGAACGCAACATGCGGGAGACATACAAGTATAGTCCGTCGTGTTTGGCCGAAAACACAATCGACGAGTTCTCGTTACTGACCGCCTGCGAAGGTTGCATATTTCCAACTGTAATGTATTCAAGTTTTACTCGACTATTTTGCAATCCAAAGGCTGGTATTACTTACTTGGACTGATGGGCTGATTGAAGTGCGCTCCAGCATAAGACACCGGACTGTTGGCCGCACTATTCGGCATTGGCGTGGACATAAACATGGGTAGACGCTCCCTTCCGGTCGCCGCATTCGGACCGAGTGTTTGATTCGCCACGTTGCGATTACTGGCATTCAGGAACTTTGGATGCTGGAAGCAGGGCTCACCGCCGTACAGCATAAAGGCCTGAGTGGCCCACAACGCAATGTCCCCGCCCCGATACTTATCCGAGGTGGCCAGCAAAAGGGCGGTGACACACGCCTCGCGCTGATTCTGCGACTGGAAGAACATCTTCACCTCCTCGTGGTGCGGACCATTGCACGACAGCAGGATTTGTCGCAGGACGTCGACCATCTTCAGGAGCTCTATGATGTGTGTGCCCTGGTTGGTAAGCAGTGCCACCTTGCGCGAGTGCCGGGCACTGTTCAGCGGTGACTTCAGGAGCGGCGACGACGGCTCATGCACCTCGGCCATGCTCCAAACCACTCCATCCAGGCTCTCCAGCGCCGTCGACTCCACCAGGTAGGTGAAGTTAACCGACGGCGCCGAGCTGACCGACCAGAGCAGATCCTGCTCCTGCTGTTGCGTGGTGATCATCAGCATGGTGCCCTCCGTGTAGTGGGCGGCATGCACTTGCTTAGGCTTGTTGGTGGTGGCATTCGGTGTGTAGCCGGGCGGCAGGCGCACATGCAGCAGATAGAGTCCCTTCGGTGCGTCGACTCCACCGGAGAGTGATGACTGCGTTGCCGACTGACCAAATCCTGTGCTCTCTGCCTGCGTACAAGCCGCCGTTGGACCGAATTGCTGCTGTACATTTAGCGATGTGGTGGAGAAATAAAGCCGTACACCGCACTGCGTCACGGCCACAAGATGCAGTTTACCGGCATCGTCGGCGTTCAAAGGGCAGATGGCCTTGACACTTTTGAAAATAGATGGGTCCACAGTTCTAAAAATATATATATAAATGCACATAAATATTAGTTCATTTTGGCAAACTTTTATGGTTAAAACTGGCACTTACGTGATCAGACTAACTGCTTGGTTTGTAATATCGTTCTGGGTGATTCGTCCCAGCCTTCGTGCGTTCGTGTAATCCGTACTGATGTCCCAGGCTTCGATGGAACCGCGCTCCGTTAAAACGTAGAGTAGTTTGCGGCTGTTGTCGATCTCTATGCGTTCGATTGGATCAACTTCCTGCAAGGAAAGTACACTGTGTTACATTTTGCATTCATCACATGCCAATGTCAATCCAATTACCGAAAACACTTTTAGGAAGCTGGGAACAATGTAGGAGACCAGTCCCTGGGAGAGATTTATCTTCTTGCAGCGCTTGCCGAACCAACTGGACTCCGCCTGGTAGAACACCTCGTAGAGGCAGCCATCGCGACCGCCCAGGAAAATGCGTCCATCGTCCGTGCCCTTGATGACGCTGATGGACACGTTGTCGGTGCCGATTACGAAAATCGGTCTGTTCATCAGCTGCATTTCGTTGTGCGAACTCTCGTCGAAGGTAACGCCCAGGACGATGACCTCGATGGGCGTGGTGAGCAGCAGAAGGTACTTCACATCCTGCACAAAAACGCCGGCTTTGGGTTTCACCAGGCCAACGCTAACGATCAAGTGGCTCAGGCCGTCGTAGTAGGCCACATCGCGCGTCTGGTTGAAGGTCCATATATAGATCTCCGAGTCGATGGTCAGCCAGGCACGGCCAATCTCCGGAAACAGGCCCATGGTGCAGTGGCATTTGATGTCTGCAAGGTTTCAGGACAAGGGATTAGAGAGAAGGGTCCCCACCTAACAGAGAGAAACCTACGCTTGAAGTGCTCCAGAATCTCGTTGGGAATAGACGATTTGGTCACCGTTCGCAGTTGTTGTAGGTTATGTGTTTCGTCCGATTTGAGAAACGACAGGCTCTGGTAATCGTAGTCATTGAGACCACTCATCGTGGCTCGTCCATGTTGGCTAACGCCGGTCAACTGTGGAGAAAGTCGTTCTTAGATTTCGGAGAGGCGAACAGGCATCCGCATCGGTGGACTCACCTCCAGCAGACCCGGCTTATTTCTGTCCAGATTGTCATGCCATTCAAGCATACTTCCCGCCGTCGAGAAAAAGTCCAGCTGTGCTTGCGGAGCAGACATCGTGTTAAAACTATACTAGGCGGACTAACTCGGGCGCGAAAGAAACTTTTAAAAACGACTAAAACAAATATGCTGGGAGAAAAACTAAACTGCAAATTTTGGCCGGCTGATGCTGATATACCCACTCTCCCGCCTTTTAATAGTGATGGAAGCATCGATGCCCACATCGAAGTTATCGATGTTTTCAAAACACGAGTTTCATCGATGCTTATCCATCTCACCCCTCTCGTCATGTTAAATCATCGTTTTCCTAGCAATCATATTTCTGATTGGAAATGTTACGTTGTTTGGCGGGGCAGTCGATGTAATCGGTGTTTTCTTTTTGACTACCCAGGCCTTCTGATAGTGGTGGCATTTTTTTCAGTGCTGCCCATAATATATATATTATATTTACATTTTAAAATGTTAGTTTGCTAGGAAAACTAATAAGTAATTACATTTTAATTTCTAAGTTTACAATACGTACATTAAAGAGGCTCTATATATATATATATATATATATATATATATATATATATAATAGATAACAGAACTATGATAAGCTATTTGGCGCAACAGGTGTGGTGTTCTCTAAAATCAAAATCAAGGAACTGTGGCGACTCTTGTACTTTTTGCAGAGTGATTTGGCCGTGTTTCTTAAAATGTTTTTTACATTCCATTTAAAATTTTTGAAAAATTGTAAAATAAACTTTTTTATTAATATTTCGATCACCTTAACATTTAAATAACGAACTGAACTAAATATTTTTTTTATTTTTCCCTCTTTTCGAACAAAAATAGACATTAATTGTTATTACAATGCTGCCAATTAACTCTAATATTCGGCCCTTAACAGCACACTGCGACGGCGTTAACAGCACGCAAACGGCACATGGCGCTCTAATTTAGCCCCTTTTGTGCGCCTCATGCAGCCACATTAAATTTCCCTTCTTTTCTTTTCCCCGTTTCCGGTGAGTAGTGTGTTCCGCATTTTATTTTTATTGAAATTTTAACCCAAAATATCATTAAATCAACATATTGCAGCGAGGAGTCCATCCAGAATTTGTCTGATTCAAACGACGGACTAACGGAGCGTAAGTTTTGTGTCAAGGAAGTGCAGTTTTGAAACTTCGAATCGCTTATGATTTACCTAAATGCCAATTGGCAGTGTGGCATTCTTACAAATGCGACATCCGTTGTGATAAACAAAACCTGAAAAGCTTGGCGATTTCCACGTACGCGGCCAAAGAGGTCCACGGCACTTACTGGTGTTGGGGCAACCTAAACCAGAAAAAAAAAACAAAACCTGAGTAAATCGTGCGAGTCAAAGTTTGGAATGCTCTCCTCCTAATCTACCACCTAAATTAGATTGAAACTAAATTGTCTGTTTTCCCAACAGTGCCATCAAGATGCGTACCATCAATTCCAACCAGTGCGTGAAGATCCCCAAGGATATCAAGGCCTCGGTGAAGGCCCGTGTGGTGACCATCACCGGCACCCGCGGCACCCTGAAGCGCAGCTTCAAGCACTTGGCCCTGGACATGTACATGCCCGACAAGCGCACCCTCAAGGTGGAGAAGTGGTTCGGCACCAAGAAGGAGTTGGCCGCCGTGCGCACCGTCTGCAGTCACATCGAGAACATGATCAAGGGTGTGTAACGTTGCGGGGAAACAGAAAAACCAATGGTATCCCAGAAACAGCATCGACTTTATATACAGATCTAAGAATGAGCTTTATTGATTCTTGAGGCATTGAACATTTTTTTAAACCAACCATTACCATTCGCAAATCGTCACAGATTTCTTGAACTTTCGGATAGTCCTTCCGACTAAAAGCCACTACCCACTAGCAAAAAAGTTATCATGCCTTAAGGTCCCATTTTAAATTTATACACAGAATCTTTTTAGTAGAACCATGGCAAAACTATGATCCCAGAGATTTTAAAGAATTTTTTGAATTAAGCTTCCCGACCTTAAAATCTTCAAAGATTTTATTTTTGAGCCTTCTTTTTTAGTCTTTCAGACTGTTATTGTAGGAAACAATAATTACCATTTTTTTAAGGTACCATTACAAATTACAACTCGTACCGTCTTGCAAATATTTTAAATGTTGATGCCACAGTTTTTTGTAGTTTAGGCAGAAGAGGCCTAAGCAATTCTTTATAAAACCTTGTGTTGCTTGGGCATAACAAATGTCTGAATGCCCAATATTGTACTAATTTGTTTAATATCCCTAATTATGAACTAACCAATTCTGTTCTTTATCCGTAGGAGTCACGTTCGGCTTCCAGTACAAGATGCGCGCCGTGTACGCCCATTTCCCCATCAACTGTGTCACCTCCGAGAACAACACGGTCATCGAGATCCGTAACTTCTTGGGCGAGAAGTACATCCGTCGTGTGGAAATGGCCGCTGGCGTCACCGTTGTCAACTCGACTGCCCAGAAGGACGAGCTCATCGTGGAGGGAAACGACATCGAGTCGGTATCCGGATCTGCCGCCCTCATCCAGCAGTCCACCACCGTTAAGAACAAGGATATCCGTAAATTCCTTGACGGTCTGTACGTGTCCGAGAAGACGACCGTTGTGAAGCTAGAGTCTTAGACTTGTATAATGTGTTTCAACCTAAAATGTTAATAAAAAAGAACCAACGGCCGAAACTTTCAATAAGAAAACTAGTGTGTGAAACTTTTTTTATAACATCACGCCCAGATCCCAATGCACAAATACAACAAAGTAAAGTATAAATGTGTTAAATGTGGTTATCCTTTCAAAGAGTTGCTTTCTACGTGACGTGAAAATCGCTGGCAAATCATGATTATGTTATATATAGCATCAATAGCATTTTATTCTTTTCACGGTTTTTGGAATGGTTCTTCAGTTTCCAAAAGTACTTATCGAAACTACATACATACTCTGTTTCTATATCGGAGATTTTGAATTAATTTATTATTTACTATGAAAAACATATAGATTCAGACATATTAAACATTCAAGAAACCACCTGATGTTGAAAAGCTAGTAAAATCATCTGAAAAAAAATCAGATCACTTTGCTTGTTCCGAGTAAGAAATGATTTAGCTAACTGCTTTAGTTGTGAACAATATTCAACAGACATTTATAGATAGACTGTTTTATTTTCCTAAGAAAAGTTTTCTAATTGCAATAACAATAACTCAAATGCCACCGTACATATCGTACATATATGAAGTTCTAGCCATTTGCTATTATCTTTGCTAAAAAAGAATAGAAATAAACTTGCGAATGGTTCCAACCTCAGATTATTTTCAAATTTTAAGAATCTTTCTATTTTAAAGCGCTTATTCCGAATATTTAGGTCGAAGTTGCTAAACAACAAATAAAAATATTTACAAAACTAAAATATTTAGTGCATATGCATATGTACACATCGATAACATTGAGCATTTCGAAATATCAAAAGAATTTAGGATATGTAAAGTAGTGCCAACTCGGCCCAATTACTTGACCGCTCTTTTTAAAATAATCGCTAGAAGGCCAGCGTTCGTTTTTCTCGAAATATATTAACTTTACCCAAAAATCACATAATAAAATGTGTATTTAAACAAAATCTACAACAATTGATTGCAATATTTTTTGAAAATGTCATATTTCAAAAGAAAAAAAAAATCGGGCTGTTAATCAAATTTGAAATATTTATTCGTAAACAGTGCCACGAAATACATGGTTTCTGTAAATTTAAACGCGAAACACCCAAAAATAGTTCAAGAAATTTAACCATGGTAGTCCACCGCTTTCCCTGACTACTTATTAACAGCAAGTTATTTTATTTTCAGTATGTTAATTTTGTTCTTATACTTATTCTATTTAAATATGATTAATTTAAGGTAAATGTGTGGACTATACAGCTGACGAACAACTGACCAAATATCAACAATTCAAAGACTTAATCGCATAAAAATATTTGGAATATTATATATTGAAATAGAACTCGCATCAATTAAACAAATTTTGCTTAGCAAATGAAGGTTTCTTTCTTATTTGAATCAATTAATATTAAAAACCATAAATTGTTTGTTTAGCTTTAATTATTTTCGATATCCAAGAAAAAAAGTTTTTTAACGGTTTTATAACTGGTTTTTGAGTTCTTAACTATTCCGCGGAACCCTTAGCCGATGGAACATATTTATGATTATATGGGATTGTTGCCCAATTATCATGGAAAGGTACAATTAATCGTGGAATTGTGAAAAAGTTTGAAAAAGTTTGTTTCTGTGTTATTAATATGGTAATTTATTTACAATATGTTCAAGAAATAGGTGATATTGAAATGATTTTCTAAAAGGCAACTAAGATGCAAATCTTTGCAAATGTGGCCCAAGATGCAGGACTTATCGAAAAAAAACCCATTCGATAACCGCAGAATATACATATATCAGCCATGGGCGGTTTTAAACTTTAAAGGTCCCGTACGTTTTCGTTCTCTCATTCACTGGCCGGCGTCTGCGAAGGTTGACTAGCATCCAACTTAAAACTTCCAATTTTAAAGTTAAAATAAAAGTAAAGAATTTATAAAAGTGAAAATAAGAGTAAAGTATTTATAAAAGTGAAAATAAAAGTAAAGTATTTATAAAAGTGAAAAATGAATTTGCCACCTAACACTGGAACGGCTCGTGGACGAGGTCGCGGGACAAAGCGCAACGAAGATGCTAACCGCGGCTTGGCTCCCCAACTAGTAAGAACTTTACATTACTAAAAAAAATGCTAAATTCACAGATTGATTTTGTAAAGCTATTATTTTAATGAACGCAAAACGGGTGCCCCAGTAGTCAAGACCGCATACTTTAGAAATTTTTAAATAGTGCTTCGTTATATATGTACATATCTCCATTTCTTAACTGATAATTATTTTGATTTATCTTAATTCGCGAATGTATGTACATATGTGTGTTTGGTCTCTCTGACCCATTCATGAAAAAACTTGTATGCGTACATATGTATGTACAGAATAATGTACATACATACACACATTTAAATTTACCGATATGTTTTCTGGATGCATATATACATACATACAATTATATATATGGTTTTTACAATGCAATTTTAAAGTAATTCAATACATGGATGCATGCTTATGCTTAAAGATCATATTAAATACGAGGAAATTTGCAATTGTATGTGAGTCT